GTGCATGTTTTAAAACACCCTTAAAAACAACAATGGTGCTATAGCACCTTAGAGACTAACCAAAACTATATAGATAGCATCATGAGCTTTCATGGGAACAACCCTCTTCAGAAATAATGGAGCAAGAGGCACAGAGGCTCAATTATAAAGCAGAGAGGGGAGGGGAGGAAAACCTGTCAATTAAAGTGTCCATGCTAAATGAGGCTAATAGAATGGGCTGTAAGTGCCCAATATTTAGCTTTTGATGTCACTTGGGTGTTGAATACAATGGGCCATCCAGTTTATGTCATTGTTCAAGCCATGAGAGATAGTATCAAATTTGAGTATGAAGGTCAGTTCCGCAGACTCTTTCTCTAGTTGATTCCTGAAATTACTTTGTAAGAGAATAGCTACATTTAAATCTACTAATGAGTGACCAGGCAAGTTAAAATGTTCCTCAACAGGTTTCTCTGTGTTACCAGTTTTAATATCTGATTTGTATCCATTAATCCTTTTGTAGTAGAGACTGTCCAGTTTGGCCGATATATATGACAAAGGGGCATTGCTGGCACTTGACTTTTTTTGCATGCTTAAAGTGAAGCATGTGCTCTAGTGCTTTGCTAAACTGTTATTCAGAGGTAGGTTGTCAAAGACACAAAAGGTAGTTATACTGAAAATCAATGGGACTTAGGTACCTGACTTTTGTGCACTTGAAAATCTCTGCTTTAGTCAGTAACAAACCTATCCTTTCATAATGGTTGCAGCATTTGAGAAGCATTTCTATCATGCCTGACATGGAAAAGAATAATAGAATCATGGAACACTAGAACTGGAAGGGACCTCAAGAGATCTTCAAATCCAGATTCCTGCCCTCATGACAGGACCAAGCACGATCTATATCATCCCTGATAGATGTCTGCCTAACCTGCTCTTAAACATCTCTAAGGATGGAGATTCCACAATCCCCCTGGGGAATTTATTCCAGTGTTTAACCACCCTGACAGGAAGTTTTTCCTAATGTCCAACCTAAACCTCCTGTGCTGCAGTTTAGCCCATTAGCCCATTGCTTCTTGTCTTATTATCAGAGGCTAAAGAGAACAATTTCCCCCCC